CAGAGCAGCAACCGCGTGCGGTTAATCATATTCATGCTCAATTATGTTTGTACTATCTGAAGTGATTCAGTTCTTTTTGAAGTTTTTCTGCAGTAATTCAGTACTTTTTAAACTGATTCTGAGTTTTTTCTAAAGTGTTTCAGTATTTTCAGAAGAGATTTTTAACTTTTTTTTAATGATTCTGTGCTCGCCAAAGTGATTCCGATTTTCCTGAAATGGTTAAAAAAAATTCTGATTCCAAACTTTTCTGAAATGCTTAAGTTATTACAAAGTGATTCAACTCTTGACGAATTGATTGTAAACTTGAGAGAGTTGATACAGTACTTTCAGAAATGTTGTGAAGTTGTCCAGTTCTTTCCGCAATTATTTAGTTTTTACGGAAGCGATTACAAACTTTCTGGAAAGATTAAGTATTTTCCAAAGGGAGTTCTTCAATACTATCCAAAGAATTTCAAAGTTTTTCTGAAGTGATTCATTACTTTCAGAATTGATTTCAAACTGTTCAAAAGTGATTCTTGGGTTGATCAATGTTGAGTTATTTTGCTATGATCAATGTACACTAAGTTTGACATCGACATCGACTACAATAGGAACTGACACTATTTCGTCACACATTTTTTGTTGATTTGCACCTCAGTATAGTACACAGAAACGCCATGCATGTTGTGGGATAAAACAATTGCCAAAAAATACATTAATTTTTTCAGCAGCTCCATCATTAGTTTTAAGTACGGTTTCTGAAGCAGAGAAGAAAGTGAAGATTGCATTTTAAGACAACGCAACAGACTGTTACCCCGTATGATCGTTATACCCCTTCCTCCCCTACTTTGTTGACATACGAACCAACATTTTGTTCAATATTTAAAGTACCGTCTTCTGACAGGTAAAAGTCAGAAGACGGTACTTTTAATATTGAATAAAATGTTGGTTCATATGTCAATGAAGTAGGGGAGGAAGGGGTATAAAGATCATACGGGGTTTAAGCACCTCTTTGTTCTCCAATTTGGAGCACAACATAAAATTACCATGCATCATCATTATGTAATTTACAGCGTGTTCGTAGAATGATTGCAAAATGGAATACTGTGACTTTTCTCAAATTAAACGTTTGGTTTCCAATAAGTAGGTGCTTAGTACAACATTAATTGAAAATTAGGGAATTCAGCTATTGAATTTCAAAGTCAGAGCAAAAGCTTGTATACCCAAGTAACATTTCTGGTTTTATGAGGGCTCTGTAGACCCCGTTTTAGACTTGTAGAATGCTTTAAAACCTCGATAAAACATGCAATGTTGCTTAAGTACAGGTTCTCCACCTGTTTAATGTTTTGATAGTAAACATCATTGGAGGCAAACCAGCCTCAGGCTGAAAGCCTTCTAAATATAGATAAATCAATCAATTAGTAAACATCATAGTTAAGGTACACCGGTGCAAGTTGAAACAGTATGTATATCTCTTTGGAAGTAAATATTCACTGTAATTATTTTTGAGAGGCATTGTGTACTAAAATATATTAGAAATAATCTCAGTAATTATTCACTTGTGCTAAGAGCTACATCTACCGTTTCAACTTCCCCACACGTTTCTACTTGCCCGGTGTAGGATAATGGATTTTGGTTGGACCTATTCATGTCATTTTCGTACTGCGTCTAAATGTATGCCATGCAAAAGCAAACTATTAACTCCACTGTTTGACACTAAACTTACAAATTGACAGCTCGCTCCAATACAAAGGGGTCGTCCGTTAATTATGTCACACATTTAGGGGGAGGGGGGGTTTTGAAAACTGTGACGAGACAGACAAAAAAAATAAGGTTCATACAAAAAATGTGACAAAGGGGGGAGGGGGGGTTGAAAATGGGCCAAATTTGCGTGACATAATTAAAGGACCATCCCAAAGTCCTACTGAGGGGCGCTAAGATGGTGATATTGGTAATGTAATCGCACTTATTTAAAATAGTTCCAGGGCTCCAATTTTGATCAAATTTCGGATTTCGGTTTCATGTTTAATGTAGATTACGAATACCCTTAAAGAACCCAATTGGAAACAGTACACAGCAAAAAAATAATTTTGATATCACATCAAAGTGGATGCACTGCAATCATGTCGAAAATTTCATGTAATTTTTATGACCAAATAAATAAACAAATGCAGTAAAAGCAGCGTAATGTCAGTTCATGCATTGTATTAACGATAATTTTGTCCTTTTTAGCAAGTAATATTACACCATATTTTCGACATGATTGTAGTGCATCCACTTTGACGTGATATCAAAATTATTTTTTTGCTGTGTAGATAGAGCTTATTTCTCTATGATGCACGGTATATGCATTTGGGTTAACATCCGACGCCCCTCCTTCTTTACATATTCTGCACAAAAAATACTTTCTAAGCCCCGCCCCTGACAGGGTTTCCCACCGTTTTTTTTATGAATGGGGTGGGGCAGAAAGTATCTTTTGTGTAGAATATGTAAAAAATGATGGACTTTGGATGTTTATCTAATTGTATATATAGAGGTACCAGATATGTTTTACAGTCAGTTGGTGGTAAATCACCCACAGAATAACATCAAAATATTGTGACCAATTTTTTTTTCTCAAATTCGAAGCTCTCTGGGCAGTAGTTGGGTAAAAAAAATTAACGGAATTAAACTTTTTTTTACTACATTGTAGTATACAGTTATTTCCCGGAAAAAAGGGATCGTTAAAGTCCATGTTTTTCAGGTTATCGTTATAGGGAAGGGGAAGGGTGGTGAGTAAATAACTTTTCCGCATTTCGTATTAGGGGCTGTTCATTAACTACGTAGACAATTTTTTTGGGATTCTTGCCCCCTCCCTTCCCCCTCGTAGTTAATGAACAGCCCTTAGTTGAACGGAACCCAAGTCACCTTTAACCATTGACTTTCTCCTGCTTACTGCAGGATCAAGCGCCACGCCGTCCGAAGCGGTAATGAGCAGAAGCGCGACAGCAGTGCTGTTTTATATCTTTTCAGGACGATGTGCAACCAAGTGGTACTCGATTAAGATGATTGGGTTTAGGAAAAACGCTTAATTCATGAAAACTGTGATAAAATTATCATTTTGTGCATTTTTCAAAAGTTTTATTACAGAAAAATTGGAAAAATATTTATTTCATCAGGTTTGTAATGGCGTATTAAGATTTTAATTTCATCTATAAATGACAAAGTTACAAGCGTTCCAAACCTAACACTACTTCACCGCACATATTTTTTTTAATTTGCACCCCAGTATAGTCGGCAAAGACGTAGTTCTACGTCGAAAAACACAATAAATATTTTATCTTCCGCTATCCAATAGGCCTCCTCCACCAGAAAGGGAGCCATTTCCAGTGGTTTCATTGTATGGCAGATTCGTCAACGGGGGTCAGAGCGCTTCTATTGCAACAATGGATGCAAAACGTGGTCGGCACTCACACACTCATCACGAAACGGTTGCTTTCCAAAGTCGACGACGCAACGACTGAAAGAACTGCTGATGAAGAACAATGGTGTAGTGGAAAGCGTGATTGACTTTCACTCCAAAGGGCCTGGGTTTCATCCCAGTCGACACCGTCGGGATTTTCGAAGGTATAAAATCTGTTATCACGCCGAAGTAAAGCCGTTGGTCCCCGGTCCGGTTAAACAGAAAAGTTGTGAAAAACCATGCATTAATCTTCGATTACAATCAATAACATCGGACCTTTCACATGTAAATGAGCAATAGTGTATTTAAATTCAGCTCAATCAGGAATGACTGATAAGGATTGAAAGGTATAAAACAAACATGGTAAAACCATCTTCTTGCAATTGCAAACAGATAACGGCGTCGGTGGTGTTGTGGTAAGCGTGATTACCCCTCACTCCAGCAGGCCTGGGTTCAATCCCAGTCGGCGCCGCCGGGATGTTCTGAGGCATAACATCTCTGATCACGCCTTCCGGGAAGTAAAGCCGTTGGTCCCCGGTTCATGAGTTGATGGGTCGATAGGTAGGGTCCAGGTGTTGGAGCTGCCTCCTTGGCGTCGGTAGCATTGATACTCATTACGGAAGACAAGATCGACGGAAAACAAATTAAGGGAAAAAAAATGTAAACATTTATTAAATGCTTCACAAAATATCTTCCCTTTGGTGTGTTTCAGTGGTTCTATTTTTAACCAATTTACCAGCTTATATTGGTTTGTACCTTAGATTCGTCTTACATGTTTTTTTGTTTAATCTATGACATTTTAGCCACCAATAATGGCGAATCTTCTCAACGAAGCTTTTCCTTTCCGGAACCTGAAGTCTGGGGGTCAGTCTAGCCGAACGGATCAGAGGAGGTGAACAAACTGCCCTCAATGCGTTTCTTTGGACCACTTTGTTGGGCGTTCGGTTCAATGGAGATACCTCCGGGCGTATCCAGTTCATTTGTGGCGGATCGCTGATCTCGGATCGAGCTGTCCTGACAGCAGCGCACTTTTCAAAAGCATTGTTGCCGATCAGCACTGGTAAGAAAGTCAATGTATATTAGACTAATGGAAAAAATGATCCTAGACTCGTAATCCACCTGAATGGTGAATGGGATATCGAAAGTGAAGAGGATTGCTTAAACGGCCTCTGCTCCGATAAGCCAATTGATTTCAACATCAAAATCTACATGAAGCACGATAATTAAACATCGGATCCGACACACAATGACGTTGCTCTAATCAATCTTCCGAGTGCGGTAAACTTCAAAGAATTCATCTCTCCTGTGAGTCTTTCTCTGGACGACAACTTTCAGGGTCAAGCGGAAACTGAGAAAGTTTTTACCGACGTCGGTTGGGGTACTACGGAGAGAGGCTCCGATAAACCAGGTTAGGAGACCTTTGGTACATTCTCATTGAAGAGTTGACCTTGTAATGTTGGATAGTGTTGAAACCTCTCAAGCTGCTATTGAAGAATAGTAGAATCGCGGTTACCTCTCTTCTTAGGCTAAGCTTCATTGCAATAAATAAATCGATCGTACTAATCAGGTCGCTAAACAGGTTCATATAAACAACAACATCTACGTCGATTTTATTTCCATATTTCGCCTAGGGAATCCCAAACGATGATAATAACTCAACGCTATAAAACGTTCATCCAAGCTTGAAGACTATCAGTGCAGTACGGTTACTGATTGGATTTGCAACAACGATGATACGGAAATTGATTTCAATTCTAGCGTGCATTGCAGGAGCACTGTCTCTCCATGGTAAGAATCTCTGCCCTTATTGCCACAACTAACGATCACTTCAGTTCAGTCATTTCAGCTACCCGAAAAAATGCATCCATATGGAACGAATACTCCCTACCCATGCCTGGTATATGCGGAGTCAGCCTGTCGGATCGCATCCGAGGAGGAGAGAAGACGGCCATCAACGGCTATCCCTGGGCTGCCGTTCTGGGGGTCAAGTATAGAAACCGTGAGCCGAACTTTATGTGCGGAGGATCGCTGATTTCGGATCGCTTTGTCCTGACTGCGGGGCACTGTCTTAGACGGTTTCTAAGCGGAGAAAGAGAGTAGGTCGATTTGAGTAATCGGATTAGCTAATTTATCTCATTGACATGGCTCGTCATCCGTAGATTAATGGTACGCCTTGGTGAGTGGGACATTGCCAGCGAGAATGATTGCGTTGATGGTCATTGCTCGGACAAGCCGATCGATTACGACGTAGACACTTTTCTACAACACGAAGATTATACATCGAATCCGACTCACAACGACATTGCACTGGTAAAGCTGGCAAGGCAGGTCAAGTTTACGGAATTCGTATCTCCGGTTTGTCTTCCAGTTACCGAAGTACTGAAGAGCAAGTCCGAAGCCGGTAGAATGTTCACCATTGTTGGATGGGGTACAACGGAGGTCGGTATTGAAGAACCCGGCTACTACGCAAGTCGGTTCAAATTGGAGGTCGATATGCCCGGTGTTGATTGGGATACGTGTTATAAGAGAAATCCTAGACTGTGGGATTCGGAGCTTTGCGCTGGAAATGACACCGAAAAGCAGACCTGCGCCGGTGATTCCGGTGGTGGATTGACGATTACTGAGAAGGACGGATACTGGTACCAGTATGGAATCATCAGCTACGGATTCGGATGTGGTACGGTTGATTTCAAAGTATTTGTGCGGGTCGTCAGTTTTTTGCCGTGGATTAAGGATAATATTAAGAAACTGAGCGGCGATGGTTGATGGCGAAAGCACGCGTAGAAAGTAGTGCCATACAAATAAATCGGGTAATGCCTATTCCTAATATTTGAGTTTAATTTCACATTCTATCGTGCGTTTGACGTGTCTTTGTATAAATGGAATCCCATTTAGTCTATTTTCCAATTTTAAAATCATGTCCAGGTATAAGTGTATTCTCACTAAGTGTTCCGAAGGTAACTTAAGGAAACCAAAAATATTTTGAGTTGAGTATTTACAGGACTTCCATAATAAGTGATTCCTGTGAGTTATCAGAAGGCAACTTAAGGATATTAAAAAAATCTTGGGGAAAAATTCACAGGATTTCCATAATAAGTGACTCTTGGTGATGAACAGAAGGTACTTACCTTACCAATCAGGCTAAGGCCTTGTTGTCCTCTGCTGTCCGAAGAAGTCGTCTCAACTCTACTCGATCCATGGCCACACTTCGCCAGCCTCGTAGTCTGCGAAGGGTCCGCAGGTCGCCTTCTACTTGGTCGATCAATCTTACCTCTTCTTCTTGTTCCTATTGGGTCGCTTTCTAGAACCATTTTCACTGGGTCGTCGTGCGGCATTCTTACGACGTGCCCAAGCCACCGTAGACGCCAAAGTTTTGCGATGGATGGTTCTCCCAGCAGCTGGTGCAATTCGTGGTTCATTTGCCTCCTCCACGTTCCGTCTTCATTCTGCATTCCACCGTAGATGGTACGCAACACCTTCTATTCGAAAACATCAAAGGCGCGTTGGTCCTCCACGAGCATAGTCCAGGTCTCATAGCCGTAGAGGATCACCGGTCTAATCAGCGTCTTGTAGACAGTCAACTTCGTGCGGTGGCGAATTTTATTCGACCAGAGCGTCCTCCGGAGTCCAAAGAAGGCACGATTCCCTGACATAATGCGTCTTTGAATTTCTCTGCTGGTATCATTTTCGCCAGTCACCAGTGAGCCCAAATACACGAACTCATTGACCACCTCGATTTCTTCACCGTCAATCTGAACTCGGGGTGGGTGGCTTACATTGCCTTCCCTAGAACCTCTTCCTTTCATATATTTTGACTTTGATGCGTTGATGGCAAGTCCAATCCGCCTAGCTTCAACTTTCAGTCTGATGTAAGTTTCCCCATCGCCTCAAAGTTCAGTGCCACGATGTCGATGGACTGGCTGAATATCGTGCGACTCGTGTCCATTCCAGCTCTTCTGATCACACCTTCTAACGCGATGTTGAATAGCAGACACGAAAGTCCATCACCTTGTCGTAGCCCCCTTCGAGATTCAAAGGGACTCGAGAGTGTCCCCGATACTCGAACAACGCACTTCACTCGATCCATCGTCGCCTTGACCAATCGCGTCAGTTTATCCGGTAAACAGAAGGCCGCATAAGGAAACTTTGAATCTGTGGAGGTGAAAATTCACATGATTTCCATAATAAGTGATTTCTGAAGGCGACCAGTCTAAAAGTCTCTTAAGGTGAAAATTCACAGGATTTTCACAATAAATGCTTCTTGATGGTAAACAGGTATCGAAAGGACTTATGAACATTTATTCGACTTGTATAACAAGTGCTTTTCTATTTAAGTGATCCATGAGATCGTCCAAAAGCAGCAGGTTACCTATGGTCTTTTTGGGGTTCAAATTACAAGGAACAAGTGCTCTTTTATTGAGTGCACAGTGGCGAAAATTTCGACAATAATATGAATAAACTACTACTGCTGTAACTACTACTACTACTGTTACCGGTGCCACCACTGCTACTGCTACTGCTGCTCCTATCACTGCTACTGCCACTACCATTAATACTGCTGCTTCCACCGCTCTTGCTGCTTCCTCTGCTCTTATTGCTTCCACCGCTCCTGCTGTTTCTGCTCGTCCTGCTCCAGTCGCTTCAACATCTGGCCTCAACAACCGCCCTTCTCCAGCCAATCCGTCGGCTGATGACAACTCTCGCGTCACTTTTCAAATAGACCAATGTAACATATCCACCATTTTGAGAAAATCGAAGTTGAAGTTCGACAGATTATTAATTTAACTGTTTAAAAACAATACATTTTGCAATACTATTTTTAATGTAGCCAGTGTATAATAAAGTTGAAAATTCAGAAGAAACGGTAAAATCACAATTTTACTTTGAATTTCATGCTACAACATAGAAAAAACCACATAGGACGTTTTGACAAGTATAGTTGTACATCGGACATGTTACATTGGACGATTTTTCTCAATGACATAATCAATGAGTGTTACATTGGACGTTTTGTCTACATGATACTAGATTCCCTTTCACAGATTTCAGAGTATAGTACCTAACTTTAGATTGGCCCCGCCTTTGAAAAATGAGCACCAATCAAGTTAGGCAGTCCGAATGACCGAAGTAACAATCATATACCCATCATTTCAAACTGTACATTGGACAATTTTTTACCTATGATTATCTTAAATAAATGAAAGTGAATTTGGATGGATGTTTTTGTATGACATACAATGATAGAAGAGCAACAGTTTGTATCGCTTAACTCGGTTTGTTTACATTTGTTACATTGGTCGATTTGAAAAGTGACGCGAGAACTGTCGCTTGAAAGTGGTTTGGCTCTATCGTCGGTGACGCTTTCTACTGGCCAGAGGGAGTAAAAGAATTCCGTCCAAAAAACGACAAAGTCCAGACCTCCACCAAACCGACATGAAAGTAATGAATACCGATGTACCTATTAACACTTGCCATTTTCCTAGTTCTACAATTCCATTTCCTGTTGATTCAATTTTTGAACCGACCGTAAAACAACACCATTTGAACTATGGGGATATCAAAACTATAGTTTCAAAACATTCAATAAACTTTATGAAGCTTGCTTTGCATAATGCTCGCCGCCTCTGTAGTAACGTAGACAATTATCGACTACTGTTCGAACAGTCAGAATTGAATGTTCTGGGTTTAGTTGAAAAATGGCTCAAACCTTCTGTCACCAACAAATCCGTTGAATTGCAGGGTTATAGAATAATACGATCCGACCGGAAGTGTACAAAACGGAATCGTGGAGGAGGCGTTGCTTTCTACTTGAAGAAAAATATCCGGTTCTCAGTTCTTGCCAAGTCTTAAGCTAATAGTGAAATCGAATACTTATTTGTTAAGTTAACAAAGGCTAACTTAGTGTGTGGAATTGTTTATCGCGATTACAATAACATTAACCACGATTCCTTTATACGGGATTTACAAGAATTAAATATGGATGCTATATCTTCTTATTTTGATGTAAATGACAAATTGAATTACCTGAATAATGCACTATTGTCACACATAAACCGTTATGCGCCTTTAACCAGAAAACTGGTAAAAGACCCTTCAACTCCATGGCTTAACCAGCATGTCCACAGGATGTTCAAAAATCGTTCAGAAGCATATGACTGTTGGAAACGCGATAAAAATAATGCTAAAAAATGGCACACTTTTGTAAAGCTACGCAACAAAACTAACCATACGGTTAAAAACACTAAACGTGAATACTTTGCTGCCCAACTTAGTGCATTTTTTCCTGCTAAAGAATCTATTTGCTAAAGTTCTGTTTATTTGTCCTACATATACTTTATTACAATGGTTACAGCTTATTTTGTATACACCTGCTTTATCTAAAACATTAACTGGGTCTTTAGTGGATTCTAACACTGATTTTTACTGGTTATATCTACGTTAAAGAGTTCAGATCCTGCGGTGAGAGTTGAAAATATTCTCCTTTGTAGAATTTTCGCTTTTTTAATCGATGATTGCCTGAATTGTGGTCTTCTTGTATTCGTTGTTTCGAAAATGTACTGGAATTTCTTTACCTTTCCTATCTCGCTGAGCGGAAGAGTCTACATTCGATGAATCAGGTGGTGGAAGGTGGCCATTTTTTGCTGGAACGAATGGTTGGAAGCATAAGGGATAACTCTCTTGGTACTTGTTGGTTTACTGTAAACCCCGTATTCAAGGTATGTCGTTCCGCAAAATGGTTTAAAGGGAAAAAAGGTATTCTGCAAAATGTGAAAGTTCTAACCTTATTTATACTATAATCCATTTCATTTACCTACATAATACCGGCGCAGCTTTTTTTTCTATATTTTTTTTTCAACCAACAGCTAGGCCCGTCTAAATATCCTTCAATAGTCGATGGAAGTTAAGGCTAGTGCGATTTCTCGTTTTATTTATTACTTATGTAACTTGATACGAATCTAGGCCACAGTTAATCGCAACGCTTATTCCTAGGGCAAACAAGCAAAAATTGAACTTCTTATCAGGACCTTCGTTCTATGTTTAAGAATACATAATATATAAATATCAATCATACTAGTATAAAACAATTCAAAAGCGTTAGCCATCTTCAGTGTAAAACACTAGCTCAAAATGTTAACAGTCAATATATTCGCAGTGCTCTTGCTCGCTGCCCCTTCGTTTGGGTTCTTTTTTGGTAAGTAACTAGCCGCGAAGCATGGATTTAACAATCAAGAACACTGACTAAGCACTCGTTGCCAGATATCTTCCAGTCAGGTTCTACCGAAACCAATTATACCTTACCCGAACCGGGAATATGTGGTGTGAGCCTGTCGGATCGTATCCTAGGTGGATCCAAAACCGCACTGAATGCTTACCCCTGGGCAGCGCTGCTGATTGCCAAACCCATCATCGGTAAAAAGGTTATGTACGCCTGTGGAGGATCGCTGATTTCCGACCGTTTCGTGCTGACGGCTGCTCACTGCTTCCGTGAGATGCCCATTTGGATTCGAGTGTAATACAAATGGCAAATTTCAATGAAGTTCTCTAATCAAATCAAATCAAATTCTATTTCCAAAGAACAAAGGTCCGCCTTGGCGAGTGGAACATCGAGACCGAGGAGGATTGTGATGATAGTGACGTTTGTGCTGATAAGGCAATCGATGTTAAAATAGGGAGTCACGTCGTTCATGAGGATTACGATGCACAGGACATTCACAACGATGTTGCGCTAATTAAGTTGGCGCAGCAGGTCACTTTCACGGAATTTATTTCACCGGTGTGTCTTCCTTTGGTCGAGGAGTTGATCAGTAAACCCGATTCCAGCAGGAAGTTCACGGTCATCGGATGGGGAACAACGGAAACTGGTCAAGAGCAACCGGGTGAGTGGAGGAAAGATTATGATTATTATTTAAGCGACTGTTGGAGTTGATTGTTGATTCCGATCCAAGGTGTCTACGGTAGTCGATACAAGCTGGAGGTCGACCTTCCTGGTGTGGACTTGGAGGACTGCCGGGAAAATTATCCTTCGGCGCTGGATTCCGAGCTGTGTGCAGGAGGTGAAGCTGGAAAGGACTCGTGCCAAGGTGATTCAGGTGGGTGTTTGGTAGCTGCTGAGACCGATGGATACTGGTACCAGTACGGAGTTGTCAGTTGGGGCTACGGTTGTGGTACCAAAGGTGTTCCAGGTGTGTATGCTCGTGTGAGCAGTTTCACCGATTGGATCCAGCGAAATATGAAATGAATTTGACCGTAGTCAGTTATCAGCAATAGGTGCAGATCATTGGATTTGAAGGGTCTCTAATTTTCAGCAAATACAATAAAAAATATATTTTTCATAGTCATAGCTAATCTGAAAGAACCCAGGAATACATCATTGAATATTCATATATTTTTACAATGATTGTAAATGAAGCATGGATCATGAAGCTCTTTTTGAAAATTAAGAACAAAGTAAACATCAAGACCAGCGCTGTTAATCGATAACTGTCGTTAAAGTCTGCAATGCATACTCACCATTGCAGACGTTAACGCTGACCTTATCGATGGTTATCTATTAACAACCCCGATTGAGACCTAAGATTTTGTTTTAAAGCTTTATGTATCGTAAAAGAAAGCAATTCAATAGCTTTTAGTAGAAAAAGGACACACCATACATTTCATTGAATACTGGAACATTGTACCATAGTTTGGCTTCCTTGATCAACCACGCATGAACAACGATTGGTATCAATACAAAAGCAGCTCTTATCAACTTTAACTAATCATGTTTGTATTACTCTACATGTTTCACACTCCAGTCACCATGGCCAGTGGTGTTGAGTACTTGGCACTGATGAAGTCTGCAAGTAGTAGGCGAAATATACGTATCTGTTCAAAAGACAAGCAATTCCCAAGTAACATTGCAAGTTTTTTTGAGGTTTAAAGCACTGTACAAATCTAAATCGTGGTCTACAGAACCCTCATAAAACCCGAATTGTTACTTTGGTTTTAACGGAATTTAAAGGAAATAAACCAACCCACTCAAAGCTCTTCATATGGTGAGTTTTGTTAGCTTGATATTCCAAGCTGCGGTGCAAATCAAAGATATGTGTGGTGAAATAGTATTAGGTTTTGAACACTTGTAACTCTGTTATTTATAGATGAAATTAAAATCCAAGAGACGCCAATCGATAGGATATTACTTAATAAAATTGTTAGATAAATGCTTCCACTGGTTTTGGAGTATTCCACGATCTTCATAGCGCCTCATACAAGCTTCAAAAGCCGTGTTCGGTATACGTTGCTGAACTAGCAGCTATATCGTACACGTTAGAGCGTATTGCCTCACTTCCACCTGACCATTATTTCATTTTTACGGATAGCTAAGCTCCCTGGAGGCTATGCGTTCAATGAGGCCGATAAAGCACTCGGCGTATTTCCTCCAGGAAATACGATCGTCATTGAGTGCTTTATCAAACAGCTCGCATATCATCACCTTGGTATGGGTCCCTTCTCATTGCTCTATCCCGGGCAATGAGAAAGCGGGCTCGCTGGCCAAGGTGGGCGCTATGGAAGGCGATAATTACGAGCGACAAATCGCCTACCACGAATTTTTCACGATTTCTCGTCAGCAAGTTCTCGCCAACTGGCAACAAAAGTGGAATGATGGTGATCTGGGAAGATGGCTACATTCTATTGTCCCACAGGTGTCGATCAAACCCTGGTTCAAAGGGTTGGATATGAGTCGTGATTTTATTCGTGTAATGTCCAGGCTCATGTCCAATCACTGTTCGTTAAACGCCCACCTCTTCCGTATTACGCTTGCCGACAGCAACTTGTGCACCTGTAGAAACGGTTATCACGACATCGAGCATGTTATTTGGTCCTGCTCCTTGCATTATGAGGCGAGATCCGTTCTGTGTGATTCCCTTATGGTCCGAGGAAAACAACCTTTTAAGCCAATTAGAGACGGCTTGGCGTGCCGTGATATCGACTTTATGAAGCTTATTTACGACTTTCTTAAAGCTGTTGATGTATATGTTTAATGTTTTGTGTTTTAGTCATCCTTTACGTTTAAGTTTTAAATTAGTTCTAAATGCTTTCCCTTGTCCTCCCTCCAAATGATCAAAAAATGTAATCCCTAATCTCGAGTAAACCGCGAGTAATCGGCCCCCGTTCTACTAACTGTAAAAAATATTCGGCTCCACAAAGCTAATGCATTTGAGCCTTGACAAATAAATGGATCATTAAAAAAAAAACAAAATTGTTTAAATTATACTTGTCTAATTTTTAATGAAAAAACTATTGCAAAAATGGGAAAATGATAATTTTATCACAGTTTTAAGAAATAAACGTTTTCCCCAAACCCAGTCATCATAAACGAGTACCACTTGGTTGCAGATCATTCTACTTGAACTTGAAAAGATATCAACCAGCGCTGCTGTCGTGCCTCTGCCAGTGATGCCACATATACAGGTTTATCGGTAAAAATACATTTTTTTTTCAATTTTTAATATGCAGACATCACTACACTAGATTACATACAGATAACAGATTTTTGAAAAATATACAGATTTTTCAAATAAAGAGAAATATTATTTTTTATATTTATTTATTTATTTATTCTGTTAAATAATGTTAATGGATTTCTGATGATCATGTGTTCTGGTTTCTCGTTGGAAGGGATATTAGTTTCCCTTTCTTTTTGTTTAATCAACCATGTCACATAGTGACCGATACGATATTTAATCTAATCGGTAAACAAGCCATTTTAGCAAACCCAGGAAATTTCCAATCGGAAACAGATTTGTCTCTCACTACCACTGGAACTTAATGTTTTGTATTGTCAAACATGTAGAAAAGATACAAATAACTATAAAAAAAAATCAAGATTGTAGAATTTCTAGATTTGATAAGACAAAGAAAGCAATATTTAGTCATTTATCAAGATTCTAAACATTGAACAAACTCCTTCTGAACCACGAAGGAGACCATAATAAATAAATTATACAGATTTTTGACGTAGGACTACGTCTGCGATTTCTACATGGAGGTACACTATGCGAAATCTAAAAATGGAACATGGAACGAAATTATGAAAGATTTTGAACGTTAATAACTCAGCTGTCCCTGAACCCATTTCAGTAACTTTATCACCAATCGATCAGAAATATTTCTTCCACTGCTTCCGACTGTTGATTTTTAAAAATAAACTATTGAAAAAGTAGTAAATTATAAGCATTGTCCAAAAGCGTTCAAATGACTAACAAATCCACCAATTACGTACCTGCATATGCTGCTTCCTCAACACAGTGATCAGAGAGTCGTTAGTAGACGAAACAAGTCGAAGTGACATTTGCCACCAATCTTCGGGTGTGTGTGAATAGGAACGATGCAATTGCGTAACATTTTGCGTACTCATCGCCATATTCAGATTGTTGATTTTGCAAGCTGTGATATCGCAGCTCGGAATATCAAGCTAACAAAACTCACCAACTGCAAATCTCACCAAACTGTGGTGAGATTGAGTTTAATGATTTTTGCTTTCCACCCGAATGCAACCGAAACTTCCATAATGGCTTGCAGCAGTCCCTTTACGTCTGCCATCGGTGAAGATTAAAAAGAGATAGCAAACTATGCTTTCTCTTTCTAAGAAAACGATGTGCAATGGAATCATTTTGTGTCGAGTCAACTCTCAGCTTGGTTTTTGCACGTTGTGAATAGTCTCGCAATATCAAAGGAGCTTGTAAAATCAATATCAAGCATGATATTTTGTTCCAATATCATGCGTGATATTGCGAGCGCATGAGAGCGGAAAAATATCAATTGATTTCTGATTTTGCCAACACTGAAGTAGTCAAATATAAGTCTGTGATTGTTGGGCGGTGCAGTTCTCGGATCCAAATTGCAGGATGTAAATTTTCATGATCCAATATTTTTTATTTTCTACATGATGTGCCATTGATTTAGTTTATGAATTGCGAACATTAGTAAGAGTTGTTAAATTTCGCTTTTTCAACCCAATAGTGTTTACTACCGTCGGCAGGTGAAATGTTTTCTGTGAGATCCAGTCATGCGTCATAAAGTTTATTTTGATTAAAGAATTATTTCATGTGACTCGCTTAACATGTTTCAAGAATCTGCAACGTGCAGAAAATCCTCCGTCGGTTTCAATGTGTTCCTTTGTCTCCTTTTTTGAAAATTAAGTAAACTTCATGTGGAATAATTAAGAAACAATACATATTTTTAGTGATAATGGGACCATCTTCGAATGCACCGTTGACTGTTTTTCAGCATATAAAAGACGTCCCAAAAACGAATAAACACAGCTTTTCCAAAACACATTTAAAGAACACATATTAAACTTAATTTAAGAATTAATCAATTCTATATAATCAACCCTTTTTATTCAAGATTAATTCTGGACATACGCGCGAGAAATTCGCAACTCCATTTTCCATTAGGAAAATCTCAATATTGCACATGAGCATGAGCTAATAAACTGAAAATCAAATCTACTGTACTTCAAACTTTCATCCCATTACGAAATACATTTTTTTTTTCAGTAATCAAAGGAAAACATCTTAGCCTTGTTATTTGTTATGCCTTGTTGAAAGTGACAAAACTCAGCTTTGTCCACCGAGGATGTTCTTGAAACAAGGAAAAAATGAGATAGTTAGTCTTCATCTATGTGATTCCTAATCTTTTATTCGTTGTTCTCTAGTTTGAAGTCGTTAAGGCTAGGGTTCTGATGCATGGTCATAATTGGTATGATTCCCTTTTTTCTCTGTTCGAGACCTTACACCACTGCGACCAGTAATTTGACCTATTGTAGTATTTCCCGTGTGCTTAGTTTAGTGCATGTAGCATTACTCCATCACTATTGAGAAATGATGAAGTATTCGATTTTTTTACAGTTGTCATTCTTGCATTCATCGCAAGGATCCGACTCTAATTAAAAGGTCCCGCTATTTATACCCTTCGGAGTGCTGGAACATCCTCTAAAGGCGCACCCCTTTGTCAGTCAAAAACGCATTCCTTCGCAACAAAATTAAGAAATTACAGTGATAATGACCATGCATCAGAATCCTAGTCTTAGCCGCTTCAAACTAGAGGACAGCGAATAAAAGATTAGGAATCACGTAGATGAACAATAACTACCTAACTCACTTTTGCTTGTTTCAAGATTATCCTCGGGGACATGGCCAAGTCATGTCTATTTGTTTATTTGTATGATGAAAAATTCAACTGACAATTATTGTCTAAATGAATAAAACTTAAACAAAAAAGTTACGGCCAATGGTACGAAAAAGGCCAAGTAACCCATGACGAAACACGTCAGCTGATACATTGAGTTGGACATATAAAAGAAGTTGTTGAATTGCCAACAGTCCCAGAGACTAACAATTTTTTTGGATTTTCGTATCGTCTACATAGAAAACGCGAAGTCGAGACGAGACGCCAAGCATCTCCAGCTTGGCAAGCAAGATATTATGGTCCACCATGTCAAATTCAGCTTTTATATCCATATACGCAGCATCGACTTACCATCCTGAATCCATGCATCGCAAACAGTCAGAAGTAAACTGCACCAGGTTCATGTACACGGAGCGCTTCGGGTAAAAGCCGTGTTGTTCTGTATCGATATAATATTTCCAGCACGCGAGCAGAGCATCATTTATGATAATCTCGAACAGTTTTGCGCAGGCACACAGGGAGGTGATTCCACGATAATTTGCGACATTTCATTTATCTTCTTTTTGTAGACTGGGAACAGCTAAGAAAGTTTCCAGCGGCAGAAGAACTCACATT